GCATGTAAGCTTCCTGAGGCCCTTGCCAGAAGCAGATGCCAGCACCATGTTTCCTGTACAAACTGCAGAATTGTGAGCCAAAATAAGCCTCTTTTCTTTATAAATTAAGGAGTCTCAGGTATTCCTTTATAGTAATGCAAATGGACTAACACACCATCTCATGTTTGTCCAGATCCCAGATTTTTTCAATCTAGGTCATAACATGAATATAACATACCTGTCTTGACTCAGTATTTAAATATCTCTGAAGCTCTGCAACTGTCCCAAGTCTGCTGTTCAACTGTTTCTGCTCTTCCACTGCAGGAAGTACGAACCTCTTTATAAGTTACCAGAAAGTCTCTTAGATTTTAATACTTAGCTTTAGTTGCTTGGTGATGAGCCTCAGTTTTTTGGTTTTCTTTTTGTTTGAGACAAAGTCTCACTGTGTTGTCCAGGCTGAAGTGCAGTTGTGCAATCTTGGATCACTGCAACCTCTGCCTCCCGGGTTCAAGTGATTCTCCTGCCTCAGCCTCCCAAGTAGCTGGGACTACTGGTGCCTGCCACCACAGCCGGCTTATTATTATTAATTAATTAATTTATTTATATTTTTAGTAGACACAGGTTTTCACTATGTTAGCCAGGTTGGTCTTCAACTCCTGACCTCGTGATCTGCCCACCTGAGCCTCCCGCAGTGCTGGGATTACAGACGTGAGCCACTGCACCAGCCTGACCCTCAGTTTTTCATTATATCTCTTCAGAGTAGCAATGAAAATTACCCAACTATTAGCTAGCTTACTTGGCTGCCTGACAGGCATCATTTCTCTCTTATTTTTCAAATGCCTGAATGCTAGCAAGGGTGTTCTCCATCTACAGGATATGTTTCCAGGTCAGGACTGGTGAAATTTTTAGCTATTTGATCACCATCTTGTGCCAGGAACTCTCTATGCTCGCATACCACTCAAGATGTTGTTTTATTTGCCCATTGGGTAGCAAGTGAGTCGGATCCCAAACTCCACTGTATCATAATTTTTCTTGGACAGCTCCTGTCACCACTTATGTTAGCTCTTGTCCTCTTAGAAGTAACAACCCAAATGGGAATAGATGAGCAAGAGGTTAATTGGGAACGACACCTGTGAAGGATAAAGGAGAAGGAGTGGGAGAAGGTGGAGTGTTCAGATGGTAATGAAGATCTGACATTGGTGAAGGAGCGCAGGGAAAGGAGGAAGATTTGACAGGAAGAGCCCTAGACTGTCACATAATCCTAAGGTTTCAGCTAGGCTGAAGGGGAGATATGGAGCCAAAGACTTCAATTAGAGAAGCCCTGTAACTTACAGAAATGCAACTGAATAGTGCCAGTTATTGGCAAGGATCGACCCATGGGATTCATGACCTCGGCATGAATGTGCTGGTGGATTCAGAGGGTCAGCAACTAGAAACATCAATCAACAATACTCCCCACAGCAGGAGATCGAAGTGGTGCATTTTCATGGCTGCCATATTATCTTATAAATTTTTAACTGAGTTAAAAATTTCTGTTATATGGCTGCTCCACCATTTGTGATTCCTTTAGTTTTTTCAGTTTATATTAATTAATGATATAATAATATGGAATCAATTGCACTAAATATTTTTAAATGATCATTTAGTCTTCAATTGAAATTTAAATGGTTCAGAAAAAAATAATAATGTGTTCTTCTATATGAAGGGAGAATGAGAAAGCAAATGTAGCAAAACTCTGAGAACTGGGAAATGCAGTGAAGGGCATGTGGGGTTTTTCTCAAAAGTATTTTATAAGTTTGAAATTATTTCATGATAATTTTTTAAAAAAATCACTTATATAATGATGGGAGACTTTTTTCCTTTGTTTCATTTTCGTTTTTGCCTGTAACAGGGTTTCCCAACTCTATCTGATATAAAAATTATGTCAAAGGAGCTTCTTAAATGCAGATTTTCACACCTGACTCCAAACTATTAAACTAGGATCTTTAGAGAAGGAGCCTAAAAATCTTAACCCCAAGTGCCTCTTATGATCTGTCAAGTTTAGAAAACATTACCTGGTGACCTTGAGAAGTGTATTTAAATAAAAAATAAAACAAAAGAAAAAATAAAATACAATAATAGTTAAAAAAAAACCACAGGTGATATAGTTTGGCTGTGTCCCACCCAAATCTCATCTTGAATTGTAACTCCCACAGTTCCCACGTGGAACCCAGTGGGAGGTGATTGAATTACGGGGTGGGTCTGCGCTGTTCTCATGATAGGGGATGAGACTCACGAGATCTGACGGTTTTAAAAACGAGAGTTCTCTGCACAAGCTCTCTCTTTGCTTGCCACCATCCATGTAAGACGTGACTTACTTCTCCTTGCCTTTCACCTTCCACCATGATTGCAAGGCCTCCCCAGTGCCATGAAACTGTAAGTCCAATAAATCTCTTTCTTTTGTAAATTGACCAGTTTCAGATATGTCTTTATCAGTACTGTGAAAATGATTAATACATCAGGCAATACTAAGCATTGGCAGACATGAGAAAGCAGGAATGCTCATACATTATAGATACCAAATTTGGACATTTTTCAGGAGTGACTTCTATGACAATGAAAAATATCCACACATATATAGAAACGACAGTTCTAGAAACTTCAAAATCTGATATTAGTATGAAAATTTTATGTACACAGAAGTTCAATCAACATCATCTATGATAATGATCACTACAAACAACCCAAACATCTATAAATGTGAAAATGAATGTGTATGTACAATAGCAAAGACTTGGGACCAACACAAATGACCATCAATGATAGACTGGATAAAGAAAATGTGGCACATATACACCATAGAAAACTATGCAGCCATATAAAAGAATGAGTTCATGTCCTTTGCAGGGACATGGATGAAGCTGGAAACCATCATTCTCAAACTAACATAGGAACAGAAAACCAAACACCGCATGTTCTCACTCATAAGTGGGAGTTGAACAATGAGAACATATGGGCACAGGGAGGGCCCATCACACACTGGGGCCTGTCTGGGGGTGGGCAGCAAGGGAAGGGATAGCATTAGGAGAAATACTTAATGTGGATGATGAGTTGATGGGTGCAGCAAACCACTCCATGGCACATGTATACCTATGTAACAAACCTGCATGTTCCACACATGTATCCCAGAACTTAAAGTGTAATAATCATAATAATAAGAAGAAAATGAATATGTGTGTATTATCTTTGCTTTTGAAGGGAGATATTTGGACAGATTTAGAGTAAAATGTGAATAGTATATTTCCTGGAGTGGGAATAAAACTGATATTATCCTTCTACCTTACCTGTGTTTTCTAATTCTGCTGAGGGCTTTTTCTGGTACCTTGGGAACCTGCTCAGCCCAGGTGTAGGACAACCTAGAAGTACCATAGATTTTAACATCCTCTGGGTGACATCCACCAATAAAGGGCCAAGTCTGTAGAAAAATATCCCAACTTCTCATCATTAGTTAGGATAATTCTGAGGAGCACTCTAAGTCATTTCTGAGACTCGGAGGGTTCCCAGCAGATTTGAGCCAATTGCCTTTTGGTCTTGTCAGTATCTGGTGCTATATTTTAAAATAACTTTTCCATCCTAAGATTATATAAAAAATAACATGCTAAGTTCTATTTTTAATGGTTTAATGTCTTTTTATGCAAACATTTAGTGTCTATTTTTAAGTGTATGAGAATGATAAGGAACTTCATTGTTTTTCAAAATAGTCAATTATCCCAGCACAATTTCTTCAATCTAACCTTTCCCCACTGATTCAAAGTATTTCAATGCATTTACTAGCATTTTTCCATATTTGGGTTTGATAATCGAATTTCTTTTCTGGTTCATTTGTTCTAAATTTATTCTGGTACACTATTATCTTAACATTGCAATTTCACAATACTTTTTAAACTTTTATTTTAAGTTCAGGAATACATGTGCAGCTTTGTTATATAGGTAAACTGATCCTCTCCCTACTCCCACCCTCCATCCTCCTGTAGGCCCCAGTGTTGTTCCCCTCTATGTGTCTATCACAATACATTTTCATCTGTCAGGGTAGCTTCCCCAAATTATTGCCCTGAATCGTCGGGGCCAGGTGCTATTCTAAATTGTGGTTACACTAATACAATTTAGAGGAGATCATCAGTTTGTCACAGGTTCTCAAAACATGAAAATCCACCAGGGAGGCTCTATTAGACTCAATGCATCACTTCATGGAAAGACATGAAGATAGAGCTCCTTCACAAGAAAACTCACCCTTTTTCCTTCCTTCCTTCCTTCCTTCCTTCCTTCCTTCCTTCCTTCCTTCCTTCCTTCCTTCCTTCCTTCCTTCTGTCTTTCTTCTTTCTTTTTCTGACGGAGTCTCACTCTATCACCCAGGCTTGGAGTGCAATGGCGCTATCTCCGCTCACTGCAACTTCTGCCACCCAGGTTCAAGCAATTCTCCTGCCTCAGCCTCCCGAGTAGCTGGGATTACAGGCGCCTGCCACCACGCCCAGCTAATTTTTGTATTTTTAGAAGAGTCGGGGTTTCACCATCTTGGCCAGGCTGATCTTGAACTCCTGAAAATAATTGTATTGTCTAGTTATGAAAACAACAACAAAATGAATGCATGCTGATGAAAAACAAAATAACAAACAAATAAGCAAACAAAAAGGAAAGTAGTTTAAGTGAAAAAAATTTTGAATACCACTTCCTGCCTATTTTCCAGACTTCCTAGCTTCTCGCTCCCCACCCCTACTCCAGGGTCCAATCTGGGACCAAGACTTACAATACTGTTAGGGCTTTACTTGCTGGACGTGAAGGGGAGAGAAGTGTGCGTTTAGGGGTATAGAAGAGGAAGAAGCGATTCTTTAAAACCTCCAGCAGAAACCACAGCAAGTCAAATACAAAGTATTATGACCCGTTTGGTCTTGGGGATCGCTACATTAAAAAAAATGGAGGGTTGGGTAGTAGCCTGCGGTAGTGGTGGAGAAAGCAGGAATGCAGAGAAAGGTGACCCCACCTACAGTCCCGCCCCCACCCTCCTGCCGTACTGCGGGTGTGAATGGTATTTGGAAATCTGAGCTCACAGTGACGTGGGCCTTAGGAGACCCAGAGCCAATGCGTGGATTAGTTTCTCCTAGTTGCAGTTTGGTAGTCATCGCTGGCCGTGCGACGGCTAGCTGTTGCCCTGAAGGCAAGCGAGCCAGCTGCCCTGGAAAGGAGGAAAGTGGTAGAAGCCGACCCCTGCGCCCTGACAGGTTGGTGGGCGCTGAACGGTGTGAGAGCTGCAGAAGGCAAAGACCAGAGCGGGTCTAGGACTGGATTATCTACCCCTTTCCAGATACACACCCGTTTAGTGTGAGAAATGGAGCGACTGGGGAGAGGATCTCCCGAGGGGGCCGGATTGAGAATGGGTACCATTTGAGATCTCCTAGGAGGCCGGCCATTGGGCAATGTCTGATGGAGTCCGGCCGGTGGAGGAGACTGAAAGGAAATAGCCTGCTTCCTGCTGGGCCGCGGGAGGGAGGTGCAGCCGGTGACCAAGGTGTGGGGAGGGCGGACCCTACCAAAGTTTTAGGCCTGCCTTCTAGATATCTTTTCTTCACCTTCTACCCATTTAGAGCTGGAAATGATAGGCTGCGGGGGCCGAGGAGAGGAATTGCTGCAGAGGAGGGGGACAGAGATCAGGTCTGGAAAGCAGGTCCCCATTGCGGCAGTTGAGCGGGCGAGCTTCTGACTGCGGGACAGAGGCGAGGAGCGAGAAACTGTTTTGGTCCCAGCAGGTGGGTCGGTGTAAGCCTGGGCGCTACTTGTAGATCCTGGAGTGAGAATGACAAAGCGCAGAGACCGCAGCAGGTCCTAGTTTGCAATGCCCACATACCTCTTCACTCATCGTCCATCTTGATGCATAAAATGGTGGGCATGGGAGTGGGGATCGGGTGGAGAGAAGGCCTGATGGATACCTAGATTGAAATTCTTTGTGAATAAACTACGTATCCATTCAGCAAGCTCTTCTAACTCCCCCGCCAGGCAAGTTGTCTGCAGTCCAGAAATGGTAACTAGATGACAGTAGGAGGAAACAGTAGAGATGGGAGCCTAAAGAAGAGGTTAAAACGTTTTGGAAATAATCATCTTTGATGCCTATTTCTGGAAGGTGGGATAGCCTGTCACAGGGTAGGAAAAGAAGTCGTGAGACAGGATGGAGGAGAAACAGAAGGTACTAATACTAGGAGAACCCTAAATCAACTCTCATTACTGGTCCTTTGATTAAAAGATCAGTCCTGGTAATTGTCACATTTGTCTGCAGGTCTTTAAGTGCGTTTTCAAGGCTAAGAGAGAAAGATTGCCTCTGATCCCTGAAGGCAGGAGGTTGCCTGGGGCCCTCTGGTGTAGGGGTATCAAGGATCAGAGCAGAATCTGGGTGACTCACAGCCCTTCCTGCCAGAGTTGAGTGCAGGAGAAACTTAGGAGAGTCTTCATAAAATGACAGCCCTGTGTCTGATGAGGGAAGAAGGGAGTAGAGGGGCGAGGTCTGGGGCGCTCCTGGAGAGCTTATTAGGATCCCAGGGAGGTGAAGTCTGGTCTCTCTATGATTGTCCCCCTCCCCCAACTCGTCCTGCATTTTGGTGGTAGGAGTGGCCTGGGGAAGGGATTTTCAGGGAAAATGGAGGGCCTTGCAGCAGCGTTGGGTCTGGGGCTTCCCCTACAGGGTTCACAGTTTCTCAGGTGGGAAAACCTTTGCCAAACAGAACTCTGAATCCTATCAAGCATCCACTCCCTCTTCTTGTTTTTTATCTTCTAGGAAGAAAAAAAAAAAAAAAAAAAGGAAAAAAACTCAACATGGAAAATGTCCCCAAGGAAAACAAAGTTGTGGAGAAGGCCCCAGTGCAGAATGAAGCTCCCTCTTTAGGAGGTGGTGAAGACCAAGAGCCAGAAGGAAATGTTAGAGGGGTTTGGGCTCCACCTGCCCAGGATTTTGGAGAAGATGTGCCCAATAGGCTTGTCGATAACATTGATATGATAGATGGAGATGGAGATGATATGGAACGGTTCATGGAGGAGATGAGAGAGCTAAGGAGGAAAATTAGGGAACTTCAGTTGAGGTACAGTCTGCGCATTCTTATAGGGGACCCCCTCCCCATGATCATCATGATGAGTTTTGCCTTATGCCTTGAATCTGGAGGTTAATAATCATAAAATCCCTGCTTTCTAAATTCACATTTTTCCTGGTGTACCATTAATGTGGACCTTTTGGCATTCTTCTGCAATTTTCTGATTGGAGATTGCATTTTGACCTAGTCTGTAAGTTTTTCTGTCAGAAGAGGACTTTCATCAACTGTCGTGGAAAGATGTTTATTGCATACTGTAATGTTAACAAAGCAATTTAAAAGCAGTCTATAAATAGACTATTTCATTTGGATGTGTACGTATGCACACTATATATAAAATATATAATATATATGAAATACACACACACACACATATATATATATATATATATATGAATGAGTGAAAACCAGAATGTGCTTTATCTATGTTGTATAGTTACTGGTACTTTTTAATTTCTTTATTTTTTTCTTGCTTATCTGTTTTTTCTCACTTTTCCAAAATGAATACATGTGTTTCATATGTTCCAGGAAAAAGAAAAGGTAACAAGCAAGGAACTTGCCAATCAGCTTATATAGGAAATGGGGGCAATTAATAAACACTTGAAACACAGTTTAAAGACATGTAAATCTTATATTATCTATGGATCTCTCATTTAGAAACATGTACCTGATAATTACAGATACATTACATTATAAATGCCTTGGAGGGCCGCTGTGGGAATCAAATGAGGTAATGACTGAGCTCTGTGTCTTGCTCTGTTTATACATGCAAGGCTCCAGCCCTCCAGGTGCCCTTCATTTTTAGGGAAGATTCCAAGGAGAGTGCCTATCAGCAAGTCCAATTGATTTCCAGGTGAGTACAGGTTCAAAATCCATTATCCAAAATGCTTGGGACTAGAAGTATTTCAGATTTCTGTTTTTTTTTTTTAAGTTTTTGGAATATTTGCATGTACATAATGAGCTATCTTGAGGATGAAACCCAACTCTAAACATGAAATTCATTTAATTTTATATACACCTCAAACACATAGCCTGAAGGTAATTTTTTTTTTTTTTTTTTGAGACGGAGTCTTGCTCTGTGGCCCAGGCTAGAGTGCAGTGGCGCCATCTCAGCTCACTGCAAACTCCGCCTCCCAGGTTCACTCCATTCTCCTGCCTCAACCTCACGAGTAGCTGGGACTACAGGCGCCTGCAACCACGTCCGGCTAATTTTTTTTTTCTTGTATTTTTAGTAGAGACGGGTTTCACCATGTTAGTCAGGATGGTCTCAATCTCCTGACCTCGTGATCCGCCTGCCTCAGCCTCCCAAAGTGCTGGGATTACAGGCGTGAGCCACTGCGCCAGGCCTGAAGGTAATTTTATACAATACTTTTAATAATTTTGCGTGTGAAACAAAGTTTGTGGATATGAAGTCAGGTGTGAAATTTTCCATTAGTAGCATCATGTCATGTTCAAAAAGCCTTGGATTTTGGAGCACTTCGATTTTGGATTTTTGGATTAGGGATGCTCAATTTTAAATGCTTTTCTATTCATCTGCTGCTCTGCCTTTCTTTTCTGCATAATGCCATAACTATTAGGCACATCTTCCTCTTCACTTGCATTTTGCTCCCTCCACTGGCTTCTACCACTGCAGATGTACTGGACTCCTGAACATGACAAAGACCCACTGATTTCTCTGGAACCTTCAGTAGTCTGATTCCCCATTTTGCCTTTTCAAAAATGTATAGAGTGTCCCTCCCTGCTTTAGAGTTATACTTAAACCAGGTGGATACTTCACCAACACTGCTTGTAAATGCAAACAGCCCTTTATGGTTTTCTCATACTTCTTTCCTCTTCCCCTTCTCCCAGACAAATTTGAGTGACGCTCATGATAGTGTGCTCGGAATTGGATTATCTCTTCCATCCTCTGATGAAAATAGCCAAGTCTCGTTGACTATCAATTTTCTGTGCAGACATTGCTACAGGTTTCATTCTGCACATACACAGGAGTTGTAGGGATAATTTTATGTTCCCAAGACTACTCTGGTTCACACCACCCTGACTTCAGGAGTCCCCAGTAGTCTACACTAACTTACACGGATCCAGATAAGTTTCCCTCTTCCTTTGCTTTGAGATTTGCTGTGCCAAATAAACCTCTAATTACAGATTGATGAGAAATAATGGCAGGAACTGGGGATCTGGTAGATGAATCCCAATTTTAAAACATTGTTCACAGTCATCACTGTTTCCTACTAAACTGTGCCCTTCTCACAGTAAATATTTTGTCTCATTTATGCTGGTACCCTTAGTGTTTAGTATAGGGCCTGATAAGTTGTAGGGCACAATGGTTAGTTATAACTGAGTTGAATCCTGCGATCTGGACCCGGGGTAGCTTCTGATGATTTATGGGCAAGGACTTCTTTTCCCTACAGACTGTAGCTTGCAATTTAAAAGGAACACAGAAGAAGAAGCATTATATGCCAATTTCCAAAAAAATGCACTTATCTTAACATATATGTCAGTGTTTATCAACATGTCCTATATAGACCAGTTGCATCAAAATTGCCTGAAGAACTGGCTAGAAATTCAGAAAAAAATGTGTTTCACTCCATACTCACTGTACCCTAGTTAATCAGACATCTCTGGACTTACATGAATTAAAGTGGAGGCCCCAGCTTTAGTCAATCCCAGACACCCCTCTCCCCACCTTATATTATACAGAAATGGATAGTTGGTTGATTGGTAGATCTGAGACCTGTGAAAACACTACGTAGAATTTAATTAATCTATATACATCAGGCATTATTTCCCTATTAGACGGTGCCCTTCTTAAAGAGACAACTACTTTTTATTTTTTTAATGCTATTGTCTTTAGTGCATAAGTTCTCAATCCTTGCTTCAGATTTGAAATACCTGAGGATACTTTAAAGTGGAGCTCAGGACCCAACTCCAACCAGTTGAGTCAGACTCATTAAAAGTGGGACCAACAGATCCTTAGTGTGAAAGATCCCATGGTGATTCCAATGTAGAGTTGAGAGGTGAGTGAAATTTGTGGCTAAAATATCTTTGGCTTATTTTCGCTGTACTACCCCTGATTGTGTTACCCTAACCAGGTTAATTTGTTTATAAAGAATTTATATCTTATGAAAGAAATACCCTAGGGGAGGAATTATACCCCCAAATCACAACAACATCTTTTTAAGAAAATATTTGCCAGTGTTCGTCCAACTTTGTTAGCCGATCAAATACTTCAGAGTTCCGCTTGGAGCGTGTTTAAAATACATAATTCTGGCCCCATCCAAAATCCACTCTTTGGTAATGGTGCTGAGATAGCTACATTGTCAACAGTCTTTAGGTGATTTTGATGCACATTAGAGTTTGCGGATCACTTGTGCATACATTTTTATCCAGATTATGTTAAAAACAAACCAATAAAATAACTAAAATAAAATATAAATGTTCGCCTAAATTCAGGGAAAGGAGCAGTAAGGAGAAGATGTATATGGACACAAAAAATAATTTTAAAAACTAAAATAAAAATTTTAAAACATTAAATCATAAAGGGAAAGACTGACATTCACCATGTAAAAAACAAATTAAATCTTCTGCAAAGTAAAGTAAGACTGTAAATAAAGTTCAAGGAACTTCAAGGAATTTCAGTTAGAAAGGAATATGTTCACTAATCAATTATACCATGGTGACTATAGTTAATAACATAATATTGTCTACTTGAAAATTGCTAGGACTTTAAGTGTTCTCACCACAAAAATTGATTGGTATGTGAGTTAATGTATGTGTTATATTGTTTGATTCAGTACTTCCACAATGTATAAAGATATCAAAACATAATTTTGTGCACCATAAATATATACAATTTTTAATTCTCAACTAAAAACATAAATTAAAATAGAATATGAGACTTGAAGAGCAAAGGCAGCCATCAGCAAGCCAAAAAGAAAGGCCTCAGGAGAAACCAAGCCTGCTGACACCATGATCTTGAACTTTCAGCCTCCAGAACTGTGAAAAATAAATTTATACTATTTAAACCACCCAGTCTGTGGCATTTTGTTATAGCAGTCCTAGTAGATTGATAGAAGATATAACACATACTGGTGGTTATCAAGGACTAAGGGAGACAGTAACGATCAAAAACTGCTTTGTGGGTGACGGATTTTACTTTGGGGTGATGGAAATGGTTTGGAACTAGACAGAGGTGGTAGTTGCACAATATTGTGAATGTACTAAATGTCATTGCATTGTTCACTTTAAAATAGTTAAGTTTTTGGATATTTTTAATTGTGGAAAAATGTACATAATATAAAGTTTACACCGTAGCCATTTGTAAATGTACAATTTATTTCTGTTTTAGAATCATCACCGGCATTCATCTCCAGGAATTTTGTGTCATTACAAACTGAAACTCTGTACGCATAAACAATAGCTTCCTAGTCCCCATTTTCCTCTCCCTATATCCCCTGGTAACCACTATTCTACTTTCTGTCTATATGAATTTGACTTTTCTAGGTATCTCACATAAGTGGAATCATACCGTATGCGCCCTTTGATGTCTGGCTTCTTTCACCTAGTATAATGTTTTTAAGGTTCACTAATTTTTTAGCATGTAGCAGAATTTTGTTCCTTTATAAAGCTGACTAATATTCTTTTGTATGTACATATAACATATTGGTAATCCATTCATCTCTTGATGTACATTTGACTTGCTTCCACCTTTTAGCTACTGTTGATAATACTGCTAGGAACACGGGTGTATAAATACCTGTTCCAGAGCCTGTTTTCAATTATTTTTGGCATATACCCAGAAATGAAATATAGTGATTTTATGTTAAGTTTTTGAAGAAAGGCCATAATGTTTTCCCTAGTGGCTGTATAATTTTAGATTCCCACCAGCAGTGTGCAAGCGTTCTAATTTCTCCATATCCTACTTGCCTTAGTCCATTTTGTGTTGTTAAAACAGAATACCTGAAGATGGGTAATTTATAAAGAAAAGAGGTTTATTTAGCTCATGGTTCTGTGGGCTGGGAAATACAAGAAGCATGGCACCCAGATCTGCTTTTCCTCTATTGCAAGCCATGTATTAGGTCAAAACATTGCAGAGAAGTTCAAAGGGAAAGCAGAGATGTGCAAAGAGATAAAACATAAGGGGTGTCCTGGCTTTACAACAACCCACTTTCTGGGGAACTAACCCATTCCAGTGATAACTAATCCAGTCTCATCAGAGTGTGAACTCACTAACTACCTCCAGAGTACCACCAAGCCATTCATGAGTGATCCATCCCCATGATCCACACATCTACCACCAGACCTCATGTCCCAACACCACCACTAGGGGGATGAAATATCAACATATATTTTGGTGGGAACAAATTTAGACCATAGCACTCACCAACACTTATTATTTTTTTGATAACAATGATCCTAATGGGCATGAAGTGGTATCTCACTGTGCTTTTGATTTACATTTCCTTAATGATTAGTGATGTTGGGCATATTTTCATGTGCTTATTGGCCATTTGCATATCTTTGGAGAAATGTTGATTCAATTTATTTGCCCATTTTTAAATTGGGTTCTATGTGGATTTTTGGTGTTGTCACTGACTTATGAAAATTTTAAAATATGTTCTGGATTTTAATCCCTCATCAGATATAGACCTGCAAATATTTTCTTTTGTCCTGTAAGCTGCATTTTCATTCTCTTGACACTGTCCTGTGATGCACAAAAGTATTAAATATTGATCAATTTGTACCTTTTTGTTGCTGATACTTTGTGTGTCATATTGAAGAAGCAACAGCCAAGACCAATGTCATCAAGCTTTCTCCTATTTTTCTTCTAAGGTTTTCATAGTTTTATATTTTACATTAAGTATTTGATTAACTTTTAGTTAATTTTTATAAATGATATGAGATAATAGTACAACTTCTTTCTTTTGCATGAGAATATCCAACTTTTCCAGTACCATTTGTGGAAAAGACTACCTTTTCTCCATTGAATGGAAAATAACTGGAATGAAAAACTTGCTAGAGCAGCTCAGTAATGGGTTTGAAGTGAAT